CAGTTTCCTGCACACAGGACAGGCTTTGGTTTAATAATAGCTATTTCCTGAATGAATGGCTGGGGGTTCTGATTGCTCTCTTATAAGAAGATTGTGGGGGTTGGGGGACCCTGAGACCAGATGCAGAGAGACCAACCAGTTGGAGGGTCACAGGTCAAGAAAGGTCCCTGGAGGTAGATGTGAGGAGCAGTGGGACATCAAGGGATGGGAGTGCTTGGACACAGTAAGAGCCTCCAATAGCCATCCCAGGGCACATGAAGATCCTGGTGTTGGGGCTGGAGGTGTTTGATGCAGTCTCTAACCAGGGCCCAGCTGATGCCCCCAGGCAGCTCCAACCTCTGCCTGACCTCGCTCTCCCCTCTGCAGGCCTCCCTGGAACAGCTTCTGCAGGTTCTGCACAGCACCACGCCCCACTACATTCGCTGCATCAAGCCCAACAGCAAGGGCCAGGCACAGACCTTCCTCCGGGAGGAGGTAATTCACACTGAGCCAAAGCTGCTTCGCGGAGAGCCCTATCTGGCCAAGGCCCTGGAGGGGTGAAGGGCAGGACATCTACTCCAAGTGCAGTGACTAGAGGGGATCTCTCAGGCTGGGCCTGACATTAGAGGGGCTTGTCTCCCCATAGCTGGCACGACAGTCATGTATGGTTGTGTGGTCTGCACTGCAGTGACCTAGCTAAGGAAGGAAGTAGAGCTCTGGCGCCTCTTGCTCTCTTCTCACCGAGCACTGCCCTGATGAGACTGGAGCTGCCCAGAATGGCTATCTCTTGCAATTAGCTGAAAGTCTGTCTCGCCTTACATTCTAGATTTTTAATTTGCACAAAAAGGTCCAGCAATTGTTCTTTGCTCAGGGTACCGGGCTCCATAGGATGTGGATGAGGTGTGAGTACTGGGCGATGCTGGAGTGTCCTACAGTCAACTGGTAGATGTGACCTTGGGGGTTATAGCCAGAACCACTCTTCTGTGGTCAAGACCATGGTTCAGATCCCAGAAGGCTCTTCACAGTATAACCAACCTCCCATGCCCTGCAGCTGTGACTCACTTGATTGTCTAGCCAAAAATAAAATAAATAAAAACAGAAATGGGGCTGGGCTGCATGTGAGGCAGAGCATCTGCACTGTGGGGATGGTGAGAGCCGTGCCAGCAGCTGCCTCAGCTGTGTCAGAAGCCATGTACCACATAGGGGACCTGGGGCTGCCGGGACCCTTTGAGCAGGGAGGTATTTCTTAATTTCTCGCTGCACCAACCCCAGAGTGTATACCTCCTTCAATGGAGCCTCAGGAGACCCTGCAGTCCACGCTGGCAGGGCCATGGGAATGCCGTCTGCCCTGCTGGCCCCATGCTGCAGGTGCCACACTGTCTCTCCATCCTTGCAGGTCCTGAGCCAGCTGGAGGCCTGTGGTCTCGTGGAGACGATCCACATCAGTGCCGCCGGCTTCCCCATCCGGTGAGTGGGCCCATCACTGCAGGGGCAGGGCCAGCGCCAGGGTAGAGCTCGGACTCAGGCCAACAAGAGCCTGCCCAGCCAAGAGACGGATATGGAGATGAAGAGAAAGGGCAGGTCTACAGGTGTCGACCTGAACTCAAGGAACTGTGCTTGTCATTTATCCGT